ATATTCATTTATCTTGAATAGAAATCAACGATTGAAGGAGGGGGTTGCCTGGTTTCAGTAATAAAATTCTCAAGAAAATGGCCGCCAAAGTTTGTCAACTTCAGCAGCTTCAGAGTCTTTTGAAACTGAAAAAGGACTTATTGTGTGCCTTTAATCAACATTTTTGTGTCAAATTTACATGGAAATGTGTTTTTATATGGATATAAAAGGTGTTGAGCCAAAAAACAAAAATTTGAAAGAAAAAAAAAGTTAACCTGGAGGAAATATGCCGATATCTTCGATTATTTTCACGAACGTCTAAGTTCACAACGCACGATACCCCACATAATAATATGTCAATGACAGATAGTATAGTAATCCGCAGACGCAGGTGTGAAACATAAAACTCTCCTATCATCCTAGTTTGACGCGCCTTTTGCTTCCTAACTAACGACAACTTTTAATCATGACATTGTGAGGAAACTGCAGCAGCTGCGTCCATGCTAGGGCTGGGCAATGAGTCTCTTTAGCCAAATCCGGATAATATGTTAGTGCACCCCTTCGGCAAATAGTATGCTCTGAACCGCCTCGGCAAATGTGTTAGAACCACTTCGACAAACAGGTTAGAATTACTTCAACAAATGGGTGCACCAACTTGGCCAAGAGAGTCTGAATTCAGATGTTTCATTGAGAATTATCCGGTTATCCTTATAGATTATCCGGATTTTGCCCACCTCTAGTCCATGATTTCCTTGTCTCTTCTTCCACAGACAGCACACGAGGGAGGGGCGGCGAGAGGTCACCGTAGTTCATCAGTGTTGCCATGGTTACAGTCGGCAGGAAGGAGATAATGGCTGCCCAAGAAGTGAGGTTTTTTTTCGTCTACTACTGTCACCTCGCTTCCTCAGAATTCCAAAACTCCATCTGACATTTTTTGCCGTTTTGAGTTACTAAGACCGTGAGGTCATCAACCAAATTGTAATGTTCTATGTAATCTGCTCTATCAAAATAAGAAGACTATTCGGGGATGTTATCAAGATATTCAAAGAATTGCATTCGAAAAAGCTTGACGCGTGAAATTCAAAATGTTTTTGCGTAAAATTTCTCCACAACAGGTACTGAGCTAATAGAATTTTGTAATTCTAGGGATGCAGATTACTGAACAAGAGCAAAGTCTATTCTTAGAGGATGTGACTTCAGTTGGGGAACACAGGTGTAATTTAACACAACTCAATCATATTGTTAAGGTTTGTGCAGCATCTTTACCACCTACTGGATTCAAGGGGGGGTGGGGGGGATATGAACCTATCTCGCTAACTATGACCTTTCAGATAAACCCTTATAGTATGAAGGTATAACAGGAAAATATCTCTAAAATATAGCTTCGATTTTTTTTTATAGTCTACAATTACCATGGTAACGGCGGCCATTGAAAATAAAAAGAACTTTTAGTCCAGATACCGTAAACTGACCCAAAATGGTCAACTTTAAAACAAGACCCCTGTAACATTTCTGTGCAGTTCATGCATTTTTCTTGACAGGTGCACCTGCATGCTCACTAAGATCTCCTCTCTGTCTGTCTGTCTGCTTCTCTCTTTGTCGGTCTGTCCGTCTGTCTCTCACTCTTTCTTTGTCTGTCTGTCTATCTGTCTGTGTCACTTTCTCTCTCTGTTCACTGTTTCTCTGTATCTGTCTGTCTTTCTT